CAGACACCACGCGCGAAGGGAATTTATGCAACCTGCAAAACGTAACATCCCGTTTTTTTTTTTTTTTTTTTTTTTTTGCGATCGAAAAATTTTATTTAATTGGTCAGCGATATTAGAATTTTTAACGGCGAATTTCATTGTGTATGAACTTTTTGCAAGTTAAAAAGAATCGCAAAATTAGATATCTCTTGCTGTATAGAATCGTCGAGAACAATAACTGTTTGAGAGACACAAGCATGAGAATTTTCATTAGCATAAGAATAGAGTACATGAATTTCTCTGAAGGTAATTAAGACCAAACTACTAACACTTTTGTACTTATATATCGACTTTAACCATTTCTCTAACCATATTAAACGTCAAATGACGCATAGATGTCAGACTAATGATAAAAAGAATTGAGGAATATTGAAGGCAAATTGAATATCGCTCACACATGAATCAGCCTTCAGTAATTTCATCACACATGAACGTACATGTTCGATTATAATAACTTTTATACATATAACAAGACTGACCAGCCGGTTTTCCCGCGATTATTCATTCGATCTAAATTTATGCGAACGAAAAAGTCTCCTCATAGAGACGGAATATTGGCACAGGATAAAGACCGACCACGTATCGACATTTCGCATATTTCTCGATCATCATACATCGCCGATTTAGATCGACGTCGTGTTCTTCGTATATATGTATGGACATATTAAACAATTCCCATCTGTACAAACGTAACGGAGTCGTTTTCGCAACTGTACTCCACCCTTTTTTTTCCCATAAAATAGTATAATAGTCACTCGTAGCGTATAACAGTAACAGGAGACCAATAGCCAGTTCCAGTGAAAACGTTTTGATGAACGAGAAACCTTAATGCAATTACAATTGTTCTCCGTTTCGTACGTCAATAGTGACAAGGAATGCCAGTTGCATTGACAAGTCTATGAAGTATACTCCTCACCTGGGCAGAGAAAGGTCATCTATGATCTATTCGTTTAAAGAAGCTATCTGTTAATCGTACATTTCCTTTGACTGCAAGACCGAACAACATGGAGTGTAAAATGTTAACTCTTTACGGCCTTACATCGACGAAGTATAAATATCAAAATATTCCAATATAAATTGTAGATGTTTAGTCGAATTATTTTCAGCTTTCAGAATAATTAGAAAATAGACAGTACGATTGACTCCCGAAGAAATTATTTAATAACTGTGGAAATGGAAGAGCTCTTAATTCACCGAATAGAATCTCGTTAAGAAATACACGAAGACATGGCATAACCATCTCAAATTCTACCCTTATCGATCGCCGTCTTTCTCCCCCATGGCACTTTTGTCTGTTTGCCTCGGTGAACCTTCCCTCCCGTCAGAGAAGTCACCATCCAGCTTTTCCCATCGACGTTTCCAGCAAAGCAAACACGATCTTTTCACTCGTTTACTATAACGCATCGTGATTCCTGAATCATCCAGTCGCGCTCCTCGAAAACGTTCCACTCATTCCGCTTGATTCGCAACAACATCCATCTTACGTGCTAAATCTACAAACAGTCTAATTACCATGAATTGAGAAAATCAAAGAGATCCATAATTTCCTTCTATTTATCGTCCGACAACCGTGTCGCATCGTCATTAGTCGGTGAGGTAGTCCGGATTTGCAGAAATTCTCGAGGGGCCATTATTTCGAATGGTTGGGAAACGATCGAAAATACCGGCCAGATATGCATTAACATTCAGAATTTATTGCTCAGAGGCTGAAGTTGACAGTGTCCGACGGATCACGAATGTTGAATGGACTGACGTCACCTTTCACATTCCCTCACGCCTTAATGGTTATTATTGCTAAGAGGCACGCACTCTTATTCGAAGAGGGAACCTCTCGTTTCACGTATGCCGCATTGAACACGTGTGCGCCTGTAAACATCGGTCCTCGTGTTCGTGGGTGCGTGTAAAATACCACGAAAGGAGGTGGAAGGTGTATGTGTGTGTGTGCACGAAGAATATACACGTGTCGTGGAATGTGCAGCACGATGTGCACCGTGCGCTGGTGTTGGAATATGGATAATAAAACAGGGAGTGCCATTGGCCGAATTGTGACTCGCCAAGTTAGCACCCAACACGCTACGCCGTATAATACAAACGGTCGAAAAAGTCTTCTGCGAAGGAATCGACGATATCGTTCGTTTATCGCGAAAGTGAAACGAACACGTAAATTTCCAGACCGAGGTGAAAAGTTACATCGAATA